AAAAAAAAAATCCCACCTCCATTGCTAGACCATAAGTGCCTCCAAAAATGGAAGTGGGGAGGGAATGTTTGCATGAGGCAGTGAGTCTTATTCAGCTCTGCAGCATATAGCAAGGCACCTAGCACATAATAGATGCTAAATAAAATTTTGTTTAGTTGAACTCAATTGAACTAATTTTGTAGGAAAAAGTTCCCATAGCAGTGGTGTGATCCGTAAGACCCTTTCTCCAAAAGTCTTTTGCCACTTGATTTTTGTTTTTAATCAAAGTAATTGTCAACATTTAAGCCTGTCGAGATTTCACACAAAATGCTAGGACTCTAGATTCTATTGAAATTTGGAAGACCTGGTGACTTTAGGTCTTGTTCTGGAATGGTGGTTATCAACAGATGAATAACAGCTGCCGTTGTTCGTTGGTGCATTTGCTCTGCAGTAGACCACATTTCCCACCAAATCCCTGGCACAGATATTGATGATGTTGTCTCCTAAAGAAGAACATTTCCATGTACCCATGTCTCCATCAAAGGGAGGCAAACGGCAATACTTCAAGAATGATAGCGTGAGGACGTCTGAAGATTGACTCCTCTATAAAAGCAACAAAAACACTGGCAAGAATTGTCAAAATCAACTCAATTCTAGAAAATACCAAAGGTTTGGAATAAACTGAACCTCTATAAGGACAGTAGGCTTTGTGACATTTTAACTCCACCTGCTCCCACAGCTAATCTTGAAGACCAGCAGCCTTGCAACCATGATAGCCATGAAAACCAGCAGCTCTACAGCCACGGGAGAGGTTTAGAGCTCAAAACGTCTATTTAACCTGTCTCACAGCTTTCTTGAAAAGCCCCATTCTCAGGGTGTCATTTAACCTGACACAGACTCGCTCTATGGCGAAAGTCATATACCCAGGGTATCGAACAGGCAATTGTTTAACGTAGCAGCTGCCTGAGGCTGCAATACCAATTGGGGCAAACAAGATCCTAGCCACAAAAGGAAGATCTAGGGAATGAGATGTCCGTAGGAGGCTTGTAAAAGTTTGTGACATGTTCCTGGGGATCTATACGGCCAGATGCATATGCAAGGCTATGCGCATGCTCAGGAAATACCTGAGAAGGCCTCAGTGTCTCACCTCTGGCTTACCTTGAGTCTTTATGAAAGCAGAACTTGAAGGCTAAAGCAGAATTATAAACTGCCTGAGTGTTGAAGGTGTATTCTGGTGTATTACAGTGTACGCACAGAGCCTCTCAGCAAACAGTGGAAAAGTTACTGGTTCAAGGCATTTTTTGTTGTTAGCTGCCATTGAGTTGGCCCCTGACTCATGGTGACCACATGCACAGCAGGATTGGACCTTTACAACTTCCACTGGAGGAGTAGATCGCCAGGCCTTTTATCCTAGCCCATCTTGGACTAGAAGCTCTGCTGAAACCTTGTCATTATCATAGCAACACACAAGCCTCCACTGACAAACAGGTGGTGGCTGCATTTGAGGTGCATGGAATCGAACCCGGGTCTCCCTCATGGAAGGAAAGAATTCTACCACTGAACCCCACTGCCTCTCAATCAGTTAGTAGCTAACCATTAAGCTGAACAACAGCTTCAGTGGCCACACACTACAGGGAATACAGACTTTACATAATTAATCTAGGCAAGTCAATAAACAGTAAACAAGCAGATAAGCCCAGGAAGAGGGGAGGATCTCATTTCCAAAGTTGCCACATTGTATTATGTAAAATGTCTAGCATTCAAACAACAAAATTATGAGACCCAAAAGGAGACAGGAAAGTATGGCCTGTACTTTCCATACAGGAAAAAAGCAGTCAGCAGAAACTGCTTTTGAGTCTAAATGTTGAACTTACTACACAAAACTTTAGCTATTGTAAATTTGTTCAAGGAACTTAAGAAAAGTATGAGAACAATGTCTTACCAAATAGAGAATGTCAATAAAGAGATCAAAATTATAAAAAAGAGAATCAAATAGAAGGTCTGGTGTTCAAAATTACAATAAATGAAAAACTCACTAGAGAAGCTCAATAGCAGATTTGAGCAAACAGAAGCAAGAATCAGCAAGGTAAAATATAGATTAATTGAGATGATCTAGTCTGTGAAACAAAATGAAAAAAAAAATTAACAGAGCCTCAGAGACTGGGACACCAACAAGTGTGCAGACATACATATAATGGGAGTCCCAGATGAAGAGGAGACAGAAAAGGAGGCAGAAAGAATATCTGAAAAATAATGGCTGAAAACTTTCTAGATTTGATGAAAAACATTAATGAACACCTCCAAGATACTGAACAAACTCCAAGGAGAATAAACTCAAAGAGATCCACACCTAACCACATCATAGTAAAACTGGCAAAAGCCAAACACAAAGAGAATTTTGAAAGTAGCAAGAGAAAAACAACCCATTGTAGGCAAGCGATTCTCAATAAGATTAACAACTGACATTTCATCAGAAGTCATGGAGACCAGAGGGCAGTGGGATGACATTCAAAGTGCTGAAAGAAAAGTAGATAAACACCAACAACAGATGGGCACATGTTTCATAAGTATAATTAACACCTGACCAGCCTCATTAACTTAAACTTTGCTT